CGGGTCTGCTTCAATCCTTGATGGGTTTGATGAATTTGGTTGCTTTTCGAAGATTCCGAGCTGAAACCAGTAAGAATCATATAGCTCCATTACTTCGTCTGCTTCCATCAATGGCGTCGTGGCAGCTAAAGAAATTGAGAACAATTTTCGTTTGCGTTAAATATAAAAGCAGAGAAATTGATGGATGTTTATGGTTGATGGTTTACAGTGAGTGCTGGGTTGGGGTGGGAGGAAGGATTGGTTGGCGAGTTTGGTACAAGGGAGGAGAAGCAATTGAGTTGTCTTTCTCTTTTCTTTTTTCTGCCCAGATTTTGGTACAAGAGAGGAGACCCAAGGATTGGGTTGCGACAATGGGAGGGTTGTGGATGAATTTCCGAATTTACCCTCATTTTTGACAGAAAATTTAACAGAGTTTGACGGAGGGACTACTAGTGCAACATAGCACCTAGTTGAGTGACCCCTGCAACTAATAATTGAATTGAGGGACCAAAGTGTAACTACGGGTATAGTTGAGGGACCATTGCTGCGAATAACCCAATAAAATAAAAACAGGAAAAATACTATATAAGATTATAAAATAAAATAAATACTTTTTTTTTCTAAGCATATAATATACATAAGTAATCACAGGAAAATTTGTCTCCCAACAAAAAAAAATCACAGGAAAATTTGGAACACATTTTAGTCAAGCAAGTTATGTAACAAGTGATATGTCAATTACCATACTAAATTTATATCTCAACTCTCTCACATCATAAAGCTAAGGTAAAACTCAATTGATTTAGATCTTCCACTTTTATCGTGTGGGCAGAAGTTTGAAACTCTCAAGTACCCAATAAATATTTGTGTGTAAACCCCCTCCACCAATTGCTTGTGTGTACTAAAAAAAGAACTGAAAAAAGAGTTTGTATATCTATTATAATTCGGCTGATGAAACTGTAATTATCGATTTGGTTTGGTTTTAATTAAAAAAAGTCAAATGGTTTAAAAATTGAATCTTACCGTATATAGTTTGGTTTGGTTTGATTTGATCTTGAGCTTTTGTAAACCGGCCCTAGTCCCTTTTTGTTTTTCAATTGATATGAATATTTCTACAAGAAATTCAGGCAAACAGAAGTAGAAAAGGGGTTTGTGACCTTCTCACCAAAAAAAAGGGGTTTGTGACCTACTCCTTAACTTCATGAAAGGACAAGGATCTTACGGAGCTTGGTGGTTTTTCCAAAATGGAGTAGTTTCCTCTTTGTGTGACCCCGATGTACATATCAGGCTTTTTGATCTACATCACAACAGATTTTTCTTATAACGAAGTTAAATCTATTTCAACCCTAATTCGGGGGATTCTTACTCTAATTTGTGATGCCAAATTGACGGTCTGACAATATAATATTCGAGCATATCTATGTTATTCGTGAGTCAATTACGAATTTATAGTGACACACATGGCTTTTCAGTTCCATTAAAACATCGTAGCAATCGATAATGACGCTTTCGAATCCTAGCATTATGGCAGAAACCTATGAACAAAGACAATGCTTCTCCAGAACTGAAACCGTCTTGAGATGAGGACCAAATGGTATTATACCGTTCGACACTGTGACATGAAACTCAGTCTCCCCTATGTCTGCTCATTAAATTCAAAACCAGGAAAGACACAAAGTTGATGAGTTATTAAAAACAGAACTTTGAAACAAGAAAATGGGAAGCACATGAATGACAGAAATCAGCAATAGAGTGCCAAAAAAGGGTAAACTACTATGAATTATGTTCAGACATAATTTGCTGCAGAATATAGGACAGTTCTGCATAGGGAAATTCCTTCAGGCTTGTATAGATCCTTTGCAAAAACGAGAGCAGCAGCGGCGAAAGAGAACACATCCTTATTGTAATTTTCGGCTTCATCCATTCGAGTGCACAGAAAGGCGGCACCTGCATCACCAACAATGGCTGTCTCATCAGGCATGACCTGATCTGCAAGATACAGAAAGTTATCAGCCATAAGATCCATAAACAAGTTTGTGGAAACATAAAAATCTATGAGCTTCGAAAATTAGGCTAATAAGTAAGTAATATATACTTATCAACTCATTTTAGGAAAAAAGTACTCACCAAGGATGGTAAGAATGGGATTCATGTCCACATTTTTATCCTAGATGAGCAACCATGAAGTAACTCAATAAGAAGAAATAAAAGAAACTGCCTTGTTGTGAATGTTTAACCAACAAAAGAAAAGATCAGAAGAGGAAAGACCAACTTACACCAAACATTATGATACAAGATGGGGATAAAGAACCTGAGGCAGCGCAGGTGAAATCCATAATTTCCATCGGAAAGTGGTCAACCATAGTCAATTGTTGTTCCTGATTAGCAAGAATCTCCGAGTCATGCAATTTTCCTTCACACCAACAAATGGTAATAAAAAGAGAAACACTAATTAAAAGCTTAATAGTATTGCAAAGGCAGCAAAAGCTTTACATTCTTTGGCCTTAAGAGTGGGATGACATCGACTTTCAAACCGGGCATGTATCCGACAGACAAAACAATCCCTCGGTTCGAATTGTTCTCATTCCGCTCAGAATCACCATCAGTCGATCCCCAAATCACCTGCACAAAATATTCTATTTAGTCAACATGATCTTTTTATTAACTCAAACAATTCCATGAAATTAAAGAACAGACCTCTCTGAGCTTATCAGTTTGGACATCAGTGCCAATTAGTCCCTTGGCCTTATTGGTTATAACCGGAATTCCAAGGCCTACCTTCTCAGTGATCTGCAGCAGAACAACTACTCTCAAAAAGAAAAAGAAAAAAAAACTACAAAAAATTTAAGCAGAGGTGGAAAGATCATTTACAAGGTGGTGAGTTTCTTCCAAGCTAAAATTTGTGCCGATGTATGCGACAATGAAGTCCGGTCGAAGCGGCTTAGAGAAAGCGTCAGCAAGAACCTCATCTAAGGCAGCCTTCAAAAAAAGAAGAAAAGAACCATACATGAAACAGAATCCAGAGTCAAGTAAACAGAGTTATTTAAGACTTACATGCAGGTCCGGATTGAGAGACAAAGCTGAAGAGAACTGGGGACGAGAAAGAATTTTGTTGCAGCTTTGGTTCCACGTTTTGCCAACACAGGCCGCTGATGATGCGAAAGAAACGGCAGGTGGTCTCGCCAGAATGTTCACTGAAACGTCGTCGTGTGCCGGAGAAAACACTCCTTTTGCGTCAGCCATTTCCACTTCTGCAACCATGTCCGGTTTTGCAGCCATTGTCGTCTTCTCGTCTCCTCCTTCTGCTTTTTTATGAGAACAGAACGTAACAATGCTCTGAGTAGCTCTGCTCTGTTGTGATGGTGGTAGTGGGAGCTCCTTTTTATATCTGTGTTTTTTTAACCTTCCTGAGTTAGGTAGCAGAAAACAACGCTGTTTTACATGCAAATTCATAAATTTTCATTTGTCTACTCTGCCAGAGAAAATCCAATCCAATCAAACAGTTTCCTACATCTGAAATCCGAAGTATTAAATTGGATTTGAATTCTTCTCTCAATATACTACTTTTTTTGGTGCTAGGCTATGCTACGAAACGAAAGTTCGCAGGTGCGATGTACTGTTAATCTCAGTCGTACGTTTATGTGGGTCATGTGTTAATGTACGGTTTAGATTGCTCACACTTATATGAGGCGTCTGTAATGCTTATTTTTCTACGGGAGATATTTTTCGGTGTGACGGTCATGCCATTACTTGATATTACCAATCCACTAATCTTATAAATGTGTATTTGTTTTTTAATATTATATTCTAAGTCAATGACATATAATTCATTTCGTCTACTTATATTAGAGCATCTCCAATCGATATGTCAAAAGTGCCACATAGATATTTAACAGCTAGAAATAACATCTCACACACTCCAACCGATGTGTCAAAGCTGATATGGAATAAAGGCTGAAGATTGAGATGTTATTTTTGACATCCCAAAAGCAAGATGTCAAATGAATATTTTATTATTTTTTCTTTTCTATTCTTTTTAATTAGAAATAAATCAACACTAAAATATAATAAAATAATAATTTAATTTGACATATCGGGTGGAGTGTAAAGCTGTGTAAGATGTCAAATTGCCACATCAGCCATCAAATTTAAATTTGATGTTTGGTATTTGACATCTCCCTTGGAGATGCTCTTATAATAACTAACTAAGCATGGCGCCTAAAAATAGTATAGCTGCGCGGCTTTACTGTTTTGACACATGGCACCTAAACACTAGGCTCTCGGCTATAACCGGTTTTTAAAATAGTATATCCTCACGGCTAAACTTATTTTGACACATGGACTCCTAAATGTTGGGCATGTCCTCTTTTGTTTTTATATAAATAGTATAGCCGCTCGGCTTGACTGGGGTTTTTTTTGTTTTAATTTTTTTTAATATTTCAATTGAAATGAATAAGAGTATTAGGCGATGTTTGGTGAACTTATAAATTTTGGGATTGGAGTTATTAAATTAAACAATAATCCCACATATTGTATCTTACAAGTCCTAACCAAAGGGGTGAAACTCAAAAGGATTGGCTTGGACTCAACACTAATACAGTCCAAGCCGAGCTACCAATTTTATAACATGTGTATTTGTTCGTACTATACCTTGGGTTTGCAACATATTATTTATGTTGTCCACCTATATGATAACACATAGATTAGTAATACTTTGTGGCGGTATGAGGATGACACCCAAGTATTTGTATATCTTTGATGCTATTTATTACCATATCTCGTCTCGAGTCTTCTTTCATTATGTTCGAATAACCTAATTAAATCGTATCTTCATGTTTTTGAGTTGCTTTTAAATCATTTGTCGTTTTCGACATTAATGTCATAATAGATACATATTATGTTTCAAATGAGAAGTTTTTTTTTTTTTTTGGTTGATACAAGCAATATTCTACTCTAATCTAATCTAAACTACATGAAGGGGGATTCAAACTCAAGTGCAAAGTGGAAAGGACATCCGCTTTAGCCAACTTGGCTAAACTCATGTCTGCGAGAAGAATTTAGGATTTAGGACTAAGAGCATCTCCATTGCAAGGGTTTAAAGGGAGATGTAAAGGACATTTACACCCACAATTGTAGAAGTTGCTCCAATGGTGGGGTGTAAATGAATGCAAATATAGCATTTGGCCGGAAAATGTAAATAAATAAAAAAAATGGACATTTACATCTGATTTTACATCCCCATTTGTTAGGCCATATAGGCTGAAAAAGAGGAGAAATAATGCAAAAGTGGTGGGCTCCAAACATATAAAAAGTGAGATACCTACCAAAATACCACAAATATCATTTTGCTTCAACTTGATATAAAATCATTTCATTTCATATCATTTTTACATCTATCCCCCATTAGAGAAAAAAAATGACATTTACATCTCCCGGAGGTGTAAAGGAAATGTAAATGTGGCTTTACACTTCCAATTTACACCTCTTGCAGATGCTCTTAGGGTTTCTTATGTTACTTTTAAAGAGTTTGAATCCTTGTATTTTCCTGGTTGATATTATGCTTTTGTCAAAATGACGTCATTTCTATTAAATTTTGTTTTCATACAAATGACATTCTAAACTCTAAACCACCTTATTTCCGTACATATTCAACCTTCTGATCATTAGCAAGCCCAAAAGCCTCAACTTTTTCAACTTGTTTCAATCACTGCCTTAGCCTTGGGCAATGCCACAGCTCGAAACCCTTTATTGTGAATAAATGAGTTTTCACAGTTTGCTAATTAATTTTTGCATTTTGGGTTTCACATATTAATTTTCGTATTTTAGGGTTTCCATGAAAAAAAAATTTGCATTTTGAGGTTTCACTCATGAATTTTTTGTATTTTGAAGTTTCGATCCTGAACCCTGTGAATTTTCGTATTTTGGTGTTTCGCTATGAAGTTTTGCATCTACATATTATTTCTGGGAACTTTAAATTTTAATTTGCAGAGACTCAATATGTCCTTAGACTCAATATGCCCTCAGGAATTGGCAGAGCCCTCAAAAAACTAATTGGCACTCAAGTGAGTACAGAGCAAGCCGGCTTTTGCTTCCCCATATGGTCAAACACATTCACAGTTCTTTTGCAGGTCAGATTGGTAATTAATTGACTGACATTCTTTGACCATAATACAATTTCATGAGAAACTAAGGAGCGCAGAGTCAAACTCTTATGTTGTGAATGGAAAAGGCAAATAAGGAGTTGACCAAAATGGTTATCCATCATGATTCATGAGGAGCCAAATATAATTAATCATAGTTGGGAGAGTATGTAAATAGTATACTTTAGTTTACAGGAAGGCTAGAAGGCCCTGCAAAATCAAACAAAGGAGGTTCTAAATGAATTATGCAGCAGTATAGGAAACCTGCATTTTGCTACTGCCAATGGAAGGGAAGTGTTTGAGGGGCTTGATGTTGATGTTGTTGATTGTTCCCCAGAGACCCATCAGAGCCTATGTGAAACATTCCGGGGCAATGAACATTTGCTTCACTTCCATTGGAGACCAGAACTGAATCCATGGGCTCTATACCGTTGTTCCCATGAAGGCTTCCGGGGCCTAATCGTTGTTGCATCAGAGATATTGAATTAGGCTGCTGCACCATGTGTCTCAAACCTATTTCAGATGTCTGCTGTGTCTGTGGTGATGACAGAAGAGAGAGAGCACAATCCGAATCGTGGATTTGAGTTGTTAACCTGTCACAAAACACTTTGCTCTTTGCCCCACCACCAGTTTCTGCGAATGAAATGGTATTCAGAAGGGGCTGGCAGACAGATGCTCCATGATGAGATGTTTGGTTGTGGAGTGGGGAGCTTTGGAAAAGTGAGAATTGCTTTCCTCCCTTGTAGCTGCTGCTGGTGCTGGTTGAGGACCCAAGAAACATGTTTTGTTTATCTATCAATGGCAGTTGGAGATGCTGGTTATGAAGACCGGTATCGGCCTCAGCTTTGACAACTCCAGCCCAGGTTGGGTGCACAACAGTGGTGGAGGGGTACACAAGTGAACTGGAGAATGGTAGCAATTGTGTACCTGCAAGAAGTGAAAATCTAATTTAATGCAAGAAATCCAAACTGCTTTATTTAAAAGAAAAGGCATAAGTATATACTTGATTGTAAGTTGACATCAAATTCAAGAAATCCCATCAGTCTGCTTGAGAATTTAGTTCATGTAAGTTTGTACTAATCTATGATCAGTTAGTAAAAGCAGAAAAATTTGCAGTTCAAATGACATCTAAAGGCAGGCAGCACTTGACAATAAGATTAATACTTTGGAAGAACCATAAAAAAATAAAATAAAGAGAAGGATCTTATTGAAGTCAAATACCAGGCTATAAGGATAGGCCACCAGAAATTGCTTTAGTGGCCACTAGGTCATCAAGTGCGGAAATTGACCACACATAGTTGATGAAGCACTCAGCTGAGTGGATATGTTCAAATAAAAAGTTCCAGAGGATACTATACTATTACTCCTAAGTTTATGTACGGATGCAAGAATGAGTAATATCTGTGTCTGTGCCTTTGCACAAGTGCATGCACATGCCTGCTTCGAAGATTTAGAGTAAGTGCACCACAAACAAGGTTGCAGCTAACCTTGGTAACTGGACAAATAACTTCCTGAACGTGACAAGGGTTCTGGTTGGGGCTTCCTTCGTCTACGATTGTGTCCATCAAGACGCTTCCTGCAGCTTCTCTTTCCTTCATCAAATTCCTCCAGCGAATGGAACCTACATAAAAGACTGAAGTTTGAGAAACTTGATCTTTCCAGGATCATGGCTCAGAACAGAAAGAATAACTCATCTGAAACTAACATATATAGATATCATCTTGAATATAAGAAACAAATCGATATCAGTTGAATTCTTGTTCGTTCACATTTGCAAGTCTACTATAAATATAAACAAAATATCGGATAGACTTGAAAGTTATCAACTCATATTCCTATTGCAGAGACATGAGGACATCTAAGAGGGCTTCTGGAATTGTGGTACACTACCTCCTTAGAGAAGGATCACAAAGATGAACATCATTCTGTTAGACATTCTAATTCCTGTATAATCAACTCAGCTAAGACTTTCTCTCATATATAATAAGATCGGCTTTCTAAATCCTAAATACATATCAAAGTTACAATTCAGTGCAGATGCTTCACCAAGGCAGCAGAATGCTTGGAGAGATGAAATTGACCTACCAACTTCTGTTCACAATATTTTGGGATAATCGCTGTGTAAGTAAAATTAAAATGCAAAATCAAAATAGGGAAATACTTGATCAAGAACATTGCAATAACTAAGGTGCTCCACATTCTAAAGCAAAATTCAAGTGAAAGAAAAAACAACCAATGTTACTCTTACATGAAATGAAACACTTGCTGTAAAATCTTATACCTGCTGCACTGCTGGCAGAATCGTTGCTTTTGGCCATTAATTGTGACCTGAGGAGTCTTAGAGTGGAGCTCACAGACCTTATGGCGCCTATGGTAATCTCTACAAACACTAAGGTCTGAATTGCAGCCATCAACAAGGCATGAGACTGTCTGAGATCCACTGTAAGCTGCTCTTGACCTCTTTGATGGTCCAGAAGGCGATGATGTAGTTTTCGGACCCCCAGCCTCCTTCAACATATCTACCAACTCATTGTTACCTGAATCACCCAACTGACCAAGCTTCAAATCAACAGAAAAGTTGCCTTTGATGGTCCTATGATCTCCAAAGCTACTAGACCCATCAACTGTGCCTAAGTTGGAAAAGGTTTCTTGTTCTAGTTCAGTCAAATCCCAAGAAGGTGCTTTCAAGTTCCAGTCCATAAAAACTCTTACTTCTAAAGCTTGTTTCTTCTACTTCTCCTCCCTGGCCCCCTCCCCCAACCCCCCTCAATTAAGCTTCTCTCTTGCTATTTGTAATTGTATCACCTTCAATAAGAATGCATTTCAAAAGTTCATCACAATAAACATTATTAAAGAACGAAAACACCAAATAACTTCATCAGAAATCCAAATAAACAGAGGTTTAATGATGAAACAAATCTCTCTATGCAGCCTGTGGACTCTCAAATTCCAAAAGGGTTAATCTATTCTATCAGACATAACAGCAATATGCCAATTTAAATAGCGTATCAGAAACCCAAATTGACCAAAAAATTATACAAGAATCCCAACCAATTTATATGCGGGAGCTTAAACAAAATTAACTACTTAACTAAGAAAATATAAAGTAGCAAAGCAAGAAATGCAACTCTGGGAATTGCAATCTTTGTTTTCTCCAAATAGAAGATAGAAACCCAAACTAGAAAGTCAGACTTTTGTTCTTTCTAATAAATTAATGATATCTAAGCAGTGTTTCTCCAAGAAATTGGGAAGCTATAAGATGAAAAACATTACTATTTTAGACCATTAAACAAATAAATAAACACAAACAAACAAGAGAGAGAGAGAGAGAGAGAGAGAGAGAAGAAGAGGTGAGAGAATACTTACAGATAAGTGGTGCAGAAGAAGAATGGTTTTCCAGCCATTTATTCACTGACATGGATTCCATTAATAACCAATAAAGTGGGTAGTCAAGGAAATAAACTAAAAAGCTAAAGCTAAAAAATTATTAGTTGGGTGTTGTAGGTTTAAGAGGTGAAGGATCACTTATTGTACCATTCAGCAAAATGCCATTGGAGGTATCTGCTGCACAGAGAGAGAGAGAGAGAGAGAGAGTGGATAATGTAAATGAAAGAGAATAGATATTATTAGTGAAGTGAGAGAGAGATGCTTATAGAAAAAGAAGAAACTGCAAATGAAGGGGGCCAAGTTCACTTCCCCTTTATTTAAAAATTTCTTTTTGTCCATTTTAGGGTTTGTTTGAAATGTGTAAGTAGGAGGAGGAGAGAAGGGAAAATAGTGACAGCTTGTTTGTAGCTTTCAGACTTTTACAAAACAAGAAAAAGAAGTACAAGGATGGATGCTCAGGACAAACCATGTGGCATTGTGTTTCACATTTCATGGCATGTCCTTCATTTGGGTTTCTTTTACTTCAAACCCTTTGTGTTGTACCCCCCACTCTCCCACTCTCCTCATTGAGAGAGTGAGCCTTCCTCTTCATCTTGGGGCCTAAAACTGTAAAATTCCAATCTTGCTTTCAATTGAATTGAAATTTGAGAATTATTAGTACAGGCCTTTTGCTGGGCTGTCTGTCTCTAGGCTTGTTAATCAATGGGGCCCCTAAATAGCTTGGATTAATAATTGCTTACCTTCTTAACCATAAAGGAAAGGGGCAATAAAGGTAGGGGTTTCCATGTTAGAAGGTGAAGATACCATCTAGGAGCAAAACCTGCATTATGTTTTTCAAGTGGCCAATGTCAATTTGATTGAATAGATTACTACTTTACCTCTCTCTCTCTCTCTCTCTCTCTCTCTCTCTCTCCATTAGCCATTAGCCATAAGCCAATGTCAAAATATTATTCACAATTTTGTTCCATTTGCATGTGCCATATCAATGATATCATGTCTCACACAAATAATTGAATTTTGTTGCTTTCTTAGTTGGAATTTAAGTATTTTCCAATTTTATGAGTTGGGTTTTCTCTTCCCTTTTGCTAGTGACATCAAATTCATGTTGTGCTCAGAATATCACTTTGATTTTGAGTTTTTGAGACTTGGGTAAGTTCCACAATCTTTGTGTGATCCTCCTCGTGTGGTTTTCAACTAGGAAAACCATTGACCCAGTTTTTTTTTGTCAAAGTTAGAAAGCGGGAAGGAGGAAAATGCACACACACATGCCATTGGAATGCCTATACTAATTAATAAAAGTAAAAGTTGGTAAAATTGGATTAGGGTCTGCTTTCATATGGGATTATTTATGGACCATAAACCATAGTCCATGGTTTTGTAGACTTGTAGTTGTGGTCCATGATCCATGTGATAACCAAATAGCTTAGCAGGAAATTTATTGGTCTTGGGAGTGTTTGGGAGCAGAGCGCGTGAGCCGTGCACGTAATGATTTGTTGAAGGCCCATACAAGGAAGAAAAAGGAAGGGGAAGGTTGGCGCTGTCAGACACCAAACACCTTCAAACACCTATTTCTGCATTTCTATTCATCGAAATTTTGTATTTCTTTTTTCTAAAAAAGAAAAATAAGTTTTCACATTTACATTAGTATCTATGTTTTTTTCTTCGCTGGGCAATATTTATATAAAATTTGAAATCTTTTCTAACATTATGAAATGAAATATAAAAAGGTTTGTACACAATAAGCTATTGATTTTGAACTTTAGCTCAAATTATATAGAAAGAAGAAAAGAAAAATCTTACATGATATTTTGGTAAAGTGGAAAACACGTTGAAGGTAGGTTTGAAGAGATGCGCTACTGACTATTATTCTTGAAGATTTGAGGGCTCAAGCCAAGTAATGGTGTTGGTTCAAAATACAATAGTGACACTATTTGACCAAAATCACTTTTATAAAACCTTGAAAAAAAAAAGGTAAACAAGTAGTTTACGCTTGTTTAAAATACAATAGTGACAAGTTACCAAAAAAAATAATACAATAGTGACACTATTTGACCTCATTGGATATGCGTGTCTAAGAGATTTTGCTTTGTAACTTTCTTTTCTGCATAAAAAATAACGGTTTAGGCTTGTTCGCATAATTCATCACCACAAAATTTTATCCACCCACAAACCAACATTTATATATTAATTAAGAATGTTTCACATAGTAAATAAGAATGGCAATAACAAGCAAGTTGTAATTCAAGTTGTTATGAGCATTTATTCATGCATCAGAGATCTTAAGTTTGATTTTCCTCTCCCGCAATATCGCTTATATGAAGGGGAAAAAAATCAAATGAATTTGAGAGGGATATATGAAGGAATTTATGTTACGTAGTGATTAGTGACTTCTAATCTCAACCATTGGATCGCATATACTATACAACGTATACTTAGCATACGTACACTTGCATTGAAAGATCATATAAACGTTCCTTATTCATGATTTCTTTCGCTCATGAATAAGAGTAGTAATATGAGTAATAATTGAAGGGTAAAAGAGTCATGCTACAGAAACGAGAGACATTAGACAAAGTCCTTTAAATCTGCAACAACTCAAAAGTCAGTGTGGCAGCTGTAATTGCGAATGTCAGTGGGACCAAACTGTGTCAGTAGGGGGATGAAGAGAGGGTGTTTAATTATTTACCACGTGTCGTCCTGTCCACCTCTTCCTCCATCCATGAAATCCAAATTTGTTTTAAATTATTTATAAAAAAAACCCAGGATCCTAAAGTGTAGTTTTCTCTTGTCGGCACCATCAATTCTTTCTCAAAGTACATCCGTCTTTGTACGCGATTGACACATTTATACTAATATTTTGACTCATATATATATATATATATATATATATATATATTCTAATTTGTACTTGGATTTTATACTAATTTAATTCTTTTCTTTTAAATATAATGTTGATTGCAATCGTTTTTCTTGTTTATTTGTTGTTCATAGCATTGAAAGAGCTACGCGTCACCAATTGTAATGAATAATGATGGATGATTGTTCAATGATGGAGCCAGGTCCATTGTCATTGCTACCTTACTTTGACAATGACTTCACTTAAGAGGGCAATTCCAAACTAAGTTTGTTGTAATGCAAATATATGTGTGTGATAAGTTGAACTACTCGCTTTCGGTCACATTGAGAAAAATAAAATAAAATACTAGACTCGAACTTTGATCCTATATGACTAGAACCCATAAACAACACTTCATGGTGTGAATTTATTATGGTTTTGGATCATCACTTATTCCAGAGTCAGAATCAAATTATATATATATATTTATTCATAAGAGTAAACTATATGCCAAGAACCCGACAATTATTGTCCAATAAGTCTGTAACTCAAAGCAACTCATTAATTATTTTGCAGTGTAAAATTTAATAATTTTACCCAACAATGGTGAAATTATTGATTCATCTGAACAATTTGCTGCAGGAGTGAGTGGGACTAAAAAGCACTCTTGTGCATTATGGAGGAAGCATGTGAACGTGACTACTTTCATTCATCACGTGGACACCAATTTCAGTTTGATTTTTCTACTCCTCACCTATTCACCTATCGCCATAGATTAGATTTGTTCGAAAATATCATGTTACGAGTTCATTCAAATTATAAAATACTAGCTTTTCTGCACTTACGAGAGGTTTTTCTGCAATTATTGGAATATACAAAACTCACACCCGACTCACTGAAAATCAATCAAAATTTAACAAAATTTTAAAACCTCACAATATCGGATGCAAACAAAATCTCACATCAAACAAAACAAGGAGTTTGAAAGCGCCAAGATGAAGGGCATCGCCACTCAGCAATCTCCGAACACCACAAGAAACGTCAACGCACCTCTGAGCCACCTTCAGGTTGCATAAGCACCCAAAAGGATCCGTCATAAGATTATATTTGGCAATTTCATAAATTTAAAACGAAAACTTATCGGAGCATTTTTCTTAGCAACTTGGTGATGCTGAACAATTTATAAGAAAAGAAAAGGCGCAATAAAATGGATGTGACCATACACTGGTTTGGTTAAAAGAGTCAGTTATTTGGGCCTAAGCGAACACTGTGTGCAAATTCGACGTGGACAGTTGGTTTCCCACAATTAGGCGGGTCCAGTTTGATTGACCTTTTTGCATTTCAGTCCTATTTTTTATGGGTAATTCTATATGAACCCAAATATTTGGGAAACATATACATTCCAATCTGAGACAAACTATGAAATGAGGCCCAATCTGTGACTGAATTTTAAGGCCCAATCCAGGTTGGGTCTAAATAAAAAAGAACAAACTCCGAATATTGCCTCGAAAATAAAAATTCCTGAAATTCAATTCCGGAGATTTTACTGCTGAGCCCGTGTCTTTGTCCGTATGTTTTCTCAGTAATTCAAATTCTCAGCTCATCTAAGGTTTTTCTTGCTCCACCTTCCCTACCAATTGTGTAAGTAAATGCTTTTTAGGGTTTTTCAGTACACTCAAACTTTTCGAGTTAGAAATGTGAATTTTTTATTTTCAAAGGTTTCAGGTTGCGGGTAGGAATGGACGGCGAGGAGTTGACTGAGCAGGAGACTGCTCTTTACGATCGCCAAATTAGGGTTTGGGGCGCTGGTGCCCAGAGAAGGTACGTACATATATGTGACTATACAGTTAAATACACAAGATAATAAAGTGAGCATTTTTATAAAATATAAAGATTTCATGAATTAATTTTTTTTGTTTTGAGCTACAGTTTGTCTAAAAAATTGTTTTTTGTTTGCTTTAGACTGAGCAAAGCTCATATACTAGTCTGTGGAATTACTGGAACTATTGCTGAGGTAATTCAACGAAATTCAACACCTTTATCTACTTTCTATTTTATTGGTGGTGATAGCATGTGTTAGAATCTTAAGGTGAATTCATGTTCATGCTTGTTGCACTTTTTCTTTGGGTAGTTTTGCAAGAATATTGTACTAGCCGGAGTTGGTAGTTTGACATTGGTTGATGATCGGGCTGTGACCGAAGAAGCGCTTTCTGCCAACTTTCTGATACCTTCTGATGAAAATGTGTGTGCTGGGAAAACTCTAACTGAACTTTGTCGCGATTCTCTGAAAGATTTCAATCCGATGGTTCGTGTTTCTGTAGAAAAAGGTCTGGCCTATAGTGCTATTAATTTCCAATATTATTGGTTCACCATTTTTAATATTAATATTGTAGCTGAACATCATTTTTGAGTTGCATAGTTTCTATATTAAATCTGGTGTTGATGGTTATAATATTTTATGGCACTAAAGACAGGCTAGTTAAACAATGCTTTGTAATTTCTGGTCCAAGTTAAGTGAGAAGAGAAAGAAACTAAGAATATACCTCATTTTGATCTCACAGGTGATTTGTCAAGCTTTGGAGCAGAGTTCTACAGTAAGTTTGATGTCGTCGTTGTCAGTTGCTGCTCCTTCACAACTAAAGTACCGTGCATACCCTTCCTCTTTGATGTTTAATTTTAACCTTTTAAAACATCCATTTTTGATGAGTTCATATCCAAATTTCCATTTCCTTTCTCATTATTTTGCAGAAATTGATAAATGAAAAATGCCGAAAGTTATCGAAGCGTGTGGCATTTTATACAGTTGACTGTAGAGACTCTTGTGGTGAAATATTTGTTGATCTGCAACACCACAAATACTCGAAGGTGAAGATCTTAGTTGATTTCGCACTCTTTCTAATATCATTGTTTTTAGTTGACCAGTTTCTTTATTCATTTTATGGCTGATGCACTAATGACCATCATTGCTAGAACTGTAAGAAGGTTTTCAGTGAAGTGCTATTGGTTTGCACATACACTAGACTGGTTATGAAATTTTAGATTACATGAACGTTGAGAAGCATAGCCTTTAAGTATCTTCAGCATAAATGCTGTAATGACAGGACCATAAATGATTTTCTTGTTTTTCTTAACAGCAAAAACGGGAGGAAACAATCGAATGCGAACTACATTATCCAAGTTTTGAGGTATGACTTGGTCTGTCATTGTTCTTTCTTAGGATGTATTAGGTTTCAGATCATTCTCATGCTAACCCTCCCAAGACCTTTTTCCAATTGCTGATGCTTGTTTATGCCTTTTTCTGGGTGACAATTAAATATAAAACCTTATTGATCAAATTAAGACCACAAGATTATATTTTCATATGGTAAAACATTCTTCATACAACAAGCATTTAGGGCTACCATCTGTCTTTTCTTTTGCACTGAGGTCTCATATGGAATTTATTTTTTGCAATTTTTTTTCTCATATAGTTATAATATTTATTTATTTATATAAATGGTGTTGTAATGGATCACATTTACGTTTAACTTACTAATGATGAAGTGTGTTATGCATCTTACATTACAGGAATCAATTTCAGTACCTTGGAAAGCACTTCCCAGGAAATTCTCAAAACTATACTTTGCTATGCGAGGTGTGGTAAATTATTTTCATTTTTATTTTAATTTGTTTTTGAAAGAAGTTGTTAAAAATAAATTTAGCAATAGATTAAAGAAGAAGATGAGAAAGCTAATGCCTTTACTAAAGGAGATACAAGAGTACTTCCCAGGAAAGTGTCAAAGCTATACTTTGCTATATGAGAAGTGGTGAACTATTGCCATTTAAAAAAAAAGAATTACAATTACCAAACTAGTAAAGAAGAAGAGGATTAAATTGGAACAGGAAGAGAAGGCTAATGTTTTACTAAAGGGGTGAGGATGTACGTATCATTTTCATACCACCAGAATGCATATTGATGCTTTCTTTCTAGTCTAATAGTCATGCTGCAATTCTACTACACCTTGAATGAATTGATTGTTACCATCTATTTATAACCTTAAACCGTATAAATCTTGTATGAATTGGTTACAATCCATTTATTGTTAAAATAAATTGATCAAGATTATCCCCACTTTCTTGCAGTAATAGAAAGGTTTGAAGAAGCTGAGCAACGTAAACCTGGAGAATTATCAATTGCAGATCTTCCTGCTGTTGTGAAGTTGAAAAAGGAGATCTGTGAGGCACAGGTTTGCTACTTAAACCTTGTTATTGTTTGTGTACTTGAAACTTGTTACTGCTTTTGTATTCTGCATCTTACTAAGCTTGCTATTGTAACAAAATTGCAGTCATTGAACGAATCTCATATCCCAAATGTCCTCCTCGAAAGACTGGTGACTGATACAAGAGAATTTCCTCCAGTTTGTCCCATCATTGGGGGGATTCTCGGACAGGTGCGCTACCTATCCATTTTCTTTATTATATAGAAAGAAATGTTTATTTGTCAAAATAAAATTATAGTGAAAATGCTAGTTACCACATATTGACATTTTCTTGACGTTTTGGTATTAAACTTCTCAGGAGGTCATTAAGGCAATATCAGGCAAAGGAGACCCTCTCAAGAATTTCTTCTTCTTCGACGCTATGGATGGAAAGGGTATAATAGAGGACGTATCAGGGAAGCCTTGAAGCTGAGCAGTCATGCAGAGGGAAACTTAAATAGATGGAAGGGCTAGGAAAGTAGGAGATGTCCTAACTGCCGTACAGGGATTTCAGGTTGTTGGTGATAGATTTTTAAGAGAGTTGACCCCTTTTCATGGGTGGATACTAATCTTTGCTTGTAGTGTAGCTTCAAAAAATTCTACCTCACCTTTTGTGCTTCTTGGGCTTTTGCATCTCTTCTTGTGCTTTTGCAGTATTGTTAAATGAATCATAAATTATGACATCCAGTGGATGGTCATGTGTTAAACAAGTTCAATCAAAACCATGGCAAAAACTTAAACTTTTTATTCATTTGTTTAAATCGAAATATGACATCATATTGGTTGGTCCACGAAACTCAATGGGAGCGTAGCCTTATGACTTTCTTGGGGGAAAAAGTATCGTTTGTGGTCATCGGGTCATGGGTGGTACCGTGGTTGTGGGGGAGCAATCAATTTTGTCTGATAAAGTCCAAGAAGGAAAGGTGATGAAAAGCATAATATCACTATAGCCGCATAGACTCTGCGCTGCAGCCCTAAATTCAATGAACATAATAGTAATTATCAGTTCTCTCTGGGACATTATTTTTTAAGGATCATGATTATCAGAAGGAAAATAAAATGATGACGATCATGGACAAATTTTAGTTGTAGTTTATATATATTTTTAATGTCAATTCGATTGGGATAACATTTGGTCAGGAATTGGACTAATTATGATGAAATAAATTATCTTTCCTCTGTTATTTATATAAAAAGAAAAAAGAAAAACAGTTCTTAATGTGAGATTGTGATGAATTTCCCCAAATTGGAGGAAATAAAGAAAATGTTTTTAAAATGGTAAGGAAAAAGGATTCTCTCTCTTTTTTGATTAATCAGTAAAGTAAGTAAAAGCAAAAAAGAGAAAAAGAAACAGAAAATAGAAAGAAATCGGATCCTAAGAACAGAAAAAGAAAACAGTAGGGTAGCTTAACAAAGGTCATAATTATCTGTTTTGCTACTATAAAATCTGGTTAGTGATTCAATGGCCCGGATTAATTCTTCCTAATACAAAGAATCATAGGACAGTCTCCTACTTCATCCCAATGACACCAAGGATCAAAATCCACAGAAATGATAATGAGAACGTGGGTAGTTCTTTCTTATCCAAGTGGAAGTCATTTTGACTGTCTTTGAAAATCAAAATTAACCCACCAAATTATCTGATACAGATTACCCTTCATTCAAATTCAATAAAAAAGATTCAAAAAACAAGCAAATCACAATTTCACAGGGGCCCTACCATGAAAATCCAAAAGGGAAAAGAGTGCCCTACCATGAAAACTCACCAAGTAGAAGAAGAAAAAGAAAGTGTAACCAAACTGCTGAAGCAGTTCATGAACTTGCAGCAAGACTGGGATTCATACAAACAGTCTAACCCAAGAGCCAAGAGGAGGCATTCAACCAACTCATCAAGTTTCACCATGGTGAAAAATCTTGATCAGCTCCTGGACACTTCTCCAAGGCACCTCATGTCTTCACTTCAACACGGACTGTCACCTTCACAAGGAGAATGGCGAGTGAGGACCAATGATTTGGTGGTGGAGGAGATTAGGAGAGAGAGAAGGGCAGCCATTGAGAGTGGTAAGTTGAAGGGAAGGAGGCTTTTTGAGGCAGAGGAATGTGAAACAGAGATGTGTTTTGGAGGAACAGAAGGGATATGGTGTGGTGGGAATGGTTTGGCGCAAGGGAGTGAGGTGAGATCAGTGTCTTTTGATGATTCTGATGGTGATGATGATGATGGCTCTGGTAAGAGCAAAGAGATTGCAGTTTGCTTTCAGGGTTGTTCTAAAACTTCTTCATCTTCATCTTCTTCTTTGTCTGATGAGGATGTGGAGAGAGAGGTGGAGATAGAGGCAAGAAAGAAATTGGTGAGTGTGGAAGAGAAATGGGTTGCTAACAAAAATGAAGGTGGTAATGGAAGAAGGTGCATGGCTATGATCATGCCTTGGCTTGCCATTGCTTTACTTGTATTTGCAATTTTCTTTATCAGAGGTTTTGCTGGATATCCAAATGTAGATGAGGTGGTTCTAGTCCCAACATGATATGCCTCATTCATCTTGGTTAGGTATTGCTTTTTTGCTTCATCCTCTTCTCCATGGAGCTTGATGAACCAATCTTCCTTTTCTTTTTCTTTTTTTCCTTCTCAATTTTATGAGTGAAGTTTTGATAATCTTTTTGAAGAACAGAGAACCCTTTAGTGGTGGTTGGAGTGTTATCTATCTATATATGTGTAGAGATATTTACTCATATTCACAATCCAGAAAATGGTAGTTTTCCAAAGCAGTGACTCAGCAGATTTATCTTATAATAGTAATAAAAAGCATATGTAGAAACATGAAAGCAAGGAGGAAAGAAAATTTTCTAGAAACCATACGAAAGAGGATGCATGTAAGACAAGCGTATAAGATTTGTCTTTCCATTTTGATTAGCAGGTCGTTGCCTGAGTGCATGACTTGTATTTTGCATATCAAGCAAATTTGCACAGCATAGCATCAAAAACCATTTGCCTTGGAAGACCCTCCAACCCTATGTGACATGGTGGCAATATTGCCTGCTTTATTAGGCATTATATGTTTGTAAATGTCTCAGTATCTGGTCAAAGTTTTCTGCGGAAGTTTCATCAGTGGGATGTGAATGGATTCCTTCATATGTCGTCACCACAATCTCTTCATCTTTCGAAAGGCGTTGGACTTGCTTTTTGACATTGCACCCTTGATGCGTGCACCTATAGTAGCTTCTGCATCATATAGTCAAAAAACCAATTCACTAGAACGAGCAAGATGACCAAGGCATTGCAGAAACAGAAGGAAATTTCAAGCATTAGGTGAAGCATGGAACTAGACAAAGATGAAGTTACTGAGCAGATATGAGCAATCAAGTGTTTTAGTGCATTTATTTAGAGGACCATCTTAGGTATAAACTTTACAAATCCAATAATTAATTGCTGGCAGTTTGCTAACAGTGTTTGATTTAGAAATAGAAGACTTCCATTTTGATCCCCATTCTTAGCACTTGAACTGAGAACCAATATATCAAAACTTCATCACAAGAATCCAAAACTTCTTGGTCTTCATTGGGTTTTTCTTTCTCTTGGTTCCTTGTGTGTTTCACAGAATATTCATTGCAAAATAAAATCAGAACTGTAAAAGGTAGCTATAGGTGATAGATTCTACAAACAAGCCAGAAATTTGACAAAGTTCAATATAGACAGATCAAAGGAGAATCATGCTAACTTCCAGGTGACAGATCAAAGAGCTTTTCTAGATCTATTGGTTACTTGTCAATGAAGATCTTCTATCAAATGGATGGTTGCTGTTCTTTTTCCAGGGTTTAAGTAGTTGATAAGTGAACCCTTTTGCTTTCTATCAAAGGCATGCATATAAAGATAGATATAATGGTGGTTTAGTCTATGTGATTATTGTGATAAGATGTTCAAACATACCCAAATTCGATCAAAGATCAATACCACAAATTCACAAGAAAACTATTTGATGAGAGCCAGCAGAAACTAACCTAGGAAATTTACTGTTTTTAACTGTTTTTTGCCCGTATTTTCGCCATCGGTACCCATCATCAAGTATATCAACCTGGCTCCTTGTTTGAAATGCATATTTGTGCTTCTTGGTCTCTTTGCCACCTTCTTTATTTCCGGGTTTCACCTTGCCCACCGAACCATAAGAGGTTCCACAATGCTGATAAATTTTTGCTTCATTCTTCATTAGGCCTGCGCTGTCGATGTGAAAACGAGGAAACACTTGAGAAATATTTGATGGGTTTGATGAGAGATTAGGAGAAGCTGAATCTGATGATTTTGGTAAAGCCAGGAAAAGTATTTGGTTGTGCTCCATCTCTAATATGAGGGATATGAATTATGACTAAGAAGTATACCACACGTATTTATTGCGAGGTACCGATGAAGGCGGCTTATGAATCTTGTGAAAATGTGAAACATGTAGAAAAATGTGGGCGGCTGTAGTGGCCAAACGTCCAATTTCACTAGCTACAAAGAAAAAATTGACAGCGGCTGCTCCAAATGAGAAGATCCTACCTGTAAAGAAAACTTGTGTCGGCACGTATACGAAATTGAGGACGTTACCGTGACCCGCAATAATTATCTTTTACTCTTTGTCAAAATGACTCTAAGGAAAATGAATATTCTGTTTCTGTTCATCAAACACCTCACTCACCCTCAACCTAGAGTCATCTTATGTATAGCGACCTTGTATAGATAGAATTTAAGTTCAATTAATAATACAGAAAGCTAAAAATCCATAAATTCTTAAGAGAATAGAAGGAAGAGAGACTTTTAACATATTACTTATGCAAGGGCCAAAGGACAGATAACTTTGGCTTTAAATTTAGAGGAGGACTCATAGCCTTAGTTCTTCATGGCAACATTCGGATGAGCCACAGTTGCAGTTTGTGCTGGTGGCGGTGGGTTGAGCTCATTCCAGGCTTCAATCCAAGTAACCATGGCATCCCCAAGCTTCTCAAAGTAAGGATCAATAGGGCCAAGCCTTTCCTTGACCTTGTTGGCAAGCTCAATGTAGCAATCTTGGACACTTGTGCACTCTTCTCGGAGCACGATTGATTGGAAAAATGGAATGATATCTTCCTGCCAGTATATGCCTTTGTACTCTTTCTTCAAATTCACAAATGGGTTACTTGCCTTGCTGTGCCAAATGTATGGCAGCCCTGTCTTCACCCCTAGCAACAAATGGTCACATATCACCTGAAAAAACAAAACAAAAAATGTCATTATCCAAGGTCTCATCTCATCTCATCTCATCTCATGTAAATTTATATCATTAAATAATATAATCAGTCCAAATATATGTCATTTTTAAGCTTCCCCAATTTGATAACCTAGCATTCTTGTCCATTGAACCATGATACCTAGCTTATTTATTAAAATTGAGTAACATATTGACTTTATAAAGTGACACATCATGAAGCTCAATGTTTGGTACGGAAGTTTAGTATCCTAGTATTATCGTAAAAATAAAGGGAATAAAATAATATGGAAAATTACCTTGGCACACCAGCCAGCCCACATATCATCATATCTGCCAATGGGTTGGCCATCACCCATGAGCCCAAAATACATGGCTGGGCCTATCAGCTCCCTGTCAAAAGCCAAGTTCATCCCACACATTGGGAAAAGGGTTCCTTTGGGGATTGTCATCACAGCATCCACATACCTACATGAGCGAAAAAAACTCAATCCGAAATTATTTTAAGCACACCCAAAATGAAAAAGAAAAAAAGAATGGAAGTTCTTCAAGACATAGATATATAGAAGATCATGGATTATTATTGTAAATTTGTAACCTGGTGTTGCGCTCACGAGGCTTGACTAGCTGAGTTGGGGCATCATAGTCAGGGATATTGAGCCAAAGCCCATGAGAAATAGCAGTGGGCAGACCTTCTCTTAAGCTAAATGGGTACCCACGAACAAAGTCCGACCCGTTTGCAAACGGGTCATAGAGTGTGTTGAAGAACAATGGAGTTGATGGTGTCAACAGGTTCCTGATGTGTTGTTCCAAAGCATTTATCTCTTTCCCACTAGGCTCCTTCGCCACCTTTAATTTTTCTCAACCCAAAAAAAAAACGTTAATGCAATACATGAACATTGAGCACTCGCTAGAATCACGTAACGTATGTTAGTTACGTTGTATACTGACACATTATTTATTGACGTGCGAACTGAAACATAAAGCACGAAAGACTTACAAAGCAATCGTCGTCGATGGTGAAGATGTACTTCTTCTTGGAGACCAAGAAACCGAAGCAGCGGCATGCAGAGTCTTTGAAAGATATGCAGCTGGCCTTGGGACCTAGGACCCTGTTCACATCGTTGCGGTTGTAGAGCTCGTAGTCAAAGCCCTCAGGGACCCCAATGGTGTTGGAGGGGTCACCATCTTGGACAATGATGAGGTGGTAGGGCTGAAAGAAAGGCCTCCACATCTCCAAGAAATCAAGGTTCCTGATTGTTGGGATCACAATGTCAAGCTCATCTTTCAGATCACGCAACTGAGCCATCTTTTAGAGAACTTGAAAGAAAATGAGAGACAGATTGATAGATTGGAACTTTATTAATGGAGGGGAATTTATACATAGTTGGGGAGAGGGGAAGAGGGGAGAGGTATGAGGAGCGTAAGGTTTGGTTGGCATTAATGGAAAAGGTGAATGAAATGAGTGAAGGTTACATGAAACTCTGCAACTAGCTGCAGGTAGGAGCGTTTTAGAATTGTGCTAGCTGTTCCTCGTTTTGGGTTCTTTTGAGCACATATATTTTCCCGTGACAACACAAGTGTACATAAGTAAGTTGTAAGAACTTATAACTGATAGGGTTAACGTTTCGAGCTGACACGTGACAATCGCGTATTGGAGAAGAGACTAGGATTAAGGGGATCTGCTAATTAAATTGGGTGTGATAAGCAAAAACCATGCTCTGACCCAAAAAAAAGAAAAAGAAAAGCAAAAACCATGCTTGATTCTATCTCTCTCAGTTCGAACCAAGTATATGTACTATCTCAGTAACATGAAGATCTATAAAAATGAAGTCCCATTAGTTTTATAATTGTGTGGAGAATGTGAAGTTTGCTTCACTTGAGGTTTAAGTAAAGACTAATAAACAAAAGAAAAGGCAGGTTTGAATTACAAATGCCCAAATTTTATTTTATTTTTTGTGTTAGAGAAGGAAAGTGCACCGTCTCCTTAATTTCAACAGATGAAGTTCCTTGAGATACACTTTATGTAGGCAAATTTCTGGTAATTAATCATATACTAAAAGAAAGATTGAGATTTGAAGTATATATGCGTATATGTAAATAGAAAACCTATTGACACTTTTGGGATTCACATGCAGGAGGTAAGTTATTTCAGTGAAGCACATCAAAACACCTAAACGTTTGCAACCCATTGTGAGACCATACAGTGAAGCATTTCCACCGGTTGGACTTGCCAGGGCAAAAGCGCCCCCCCTTCCAAAAACACTCTCCAGCGATCAAATTCAGCCCGAGCAGATGGTCGGCTCCACCAAGATTGGGCAGGCCCGAAGGCTAGAACAGTCAGAGCTGTGGCCTAAGGGAGCTGACGTCAGTGAAGAAAAACAAATTTAAAAATTACCAAAAAATTCATAATATTTTTTCATACATACCTAGCAAATTTTTATTTTTATTTATTAATCTCATACATATAAATAAAATTAATCCCATGTAAATGGTAATTACCCTTGGGTTGCTACGGTAATGGGTGGAAAAGCAAAAAAAAATATTACTAGGGCTTATACTATTAATGTGAAACAGTAACCAACCCTTGGCCTTTGCTATGACAAACGGGTGGAAGTGCTCTAATGAGGGGGTTGTGAGTGAGGGGGTTATGGAAGGGGTTCAATCCCGCTATCCAATAAGAGAGATAAAATATTGGACTTAATTTTTTTAGGGAGCTGATTTCCCCACTCCCTTTTTCTCCACTTACACTCCTTTTTGCTTTTTAATACTTTTTAATCAATTTTGTTCTTTCTCTTTCCTATTATATCCTTACCCTATATTAATTTCTTTTTTACTTAATTTTTATATTATTTCTTTTTCTTCATACTTAATTTTCCAACTTACATTCCATTTTCAGTATTAAAGGGGAAAAAAAAACTTAATTTCTTACTCGATTAAAGGAAAAAAAACTAAAAATGGAGTGCAAGTTAGAAAATTAAGTATAAAGAAAAAGAACTAATATAAAAGTGAAGTAAAAATAAAATAATGTAAGGTAATGGTAGAATAGGAAAGAGAAAAAACAAAATTGATTAAAAAGTATTAAAAAGCAAAAGGGAGTGTGAGTGGAGAAAAGTAGAGTGGGGAAATCATATCCCTTTTTTTAATGATTGGATGGCTGGATATTTTGAACCCCTCATTCAACTCCCTCACCCAAATCCCCCTCATTGTAGCATAGTACTAGTTGTCTTCCATGATCTAGGGCCCTATGGTATTCTTTCCCATGAAAGCCTTGAATTCAATATTGTAGGTCTTCCACGCTTAGAAACATTTTGTGACTTGTGTGTGAGTCAAATTCAATAAAAAAAATTGAAGCAAATATGGATTAGGTCAGTTGAGTAAGTCAGTGTGTTTATCATCTTGTAAATAAGAATCAACAAAATGAGAACAAAAGAAAAAAAAAACCAACCCCCCGGATCAAACCCAACACATAAAATCACATAAACGAGGCAAAAATCAATAGGGTGATTAATAAGTTATCAGGAAAAGAGAAAACCTAATACTAGGTTTCTCATACGTGTAATATGGACTTTTTACCTAGGCTAAGAAATTATATCTTTCTTTTTTTTGTCTGAACCATGAGGTGGTCCTGGATGGGCCCCAACTATGGGTGGCACCTTTAAGCCTTAACCACAACCCAGACTAATCCTCACTCACACCGGGTCGGCCCGTAAGGGGTAAAATGTTGGCCAAAGTGGTGACTCCGTACGAGAGCAGGGATCGAACCCCTGACCTCTTTTAAGGAATGAGAGTGCCGAACCACTCACACCAACCACCTTGGTTGAAATTATATCTTTTCATCGTACGTTTGTAATATATTCCAAGGATTTGCATACAATTAATCGACAGTTCATGCATGCATGAACCGTGAAGGGGTCACATCTGATTCCCTTTCCTCTCTGAATAATGAAAAGCAGTTTGTGCTTATGGGCCTCAAAAAAGCTTTTGTACAACAATGGATGGGTGCATGTTAAGTGGACCCTCCCTCTAAATTCATGTATGGAATTATCCAAAAAACACTCTCCTGTTTACAAAAAAATATAAAAAATGTTAGGCTTTCCTCAGATAAAGTGACATATATATATTTATTACATTGGGAAGTAAAGATAATTCTGGAATTTCGATCCTGGGTGCCAAACAGGAGAAGGTAAAGGGACACAACCACTGTGGTACATAACCCCGCATTGGCAAGTGAAATATACCTTAATAAGTCTCTATGCATAGTATAATTAATATGATTTGAATAAATCGTACGCTAACGTAATACAAAGTATTCTGTTAACAAATACGTATGTGACAAATAAACGTGTAATTTACAAATGACGATATAATAAATATATGAGGGCATATTATTACAAATTTAGATAATCGAAGAAGGCAACTTCAAGCTGGTGGTTCTAGTTATAGATCTGGACTTGTATGTATTGTTCATGAGAACGACGAGTCGTTGAATTGTGGGTCAGTGCCATTTCTTGGGGGTCAATTTGTAATAATAATATTGGGTCAAGATTCAAGAACTAAGAAGCACATGCATGCATGCTATCATCCTATGCCCGAAAGTTTTTCTGGTGACGTGGAATTATTTTGGTGAACATCGATTTACCTTTGTTTCTACGTGTCTAAAAGATAACAAGGCTTGGGACATGTCATTCCCACGTGGCATTCAGATGAAAGAACAAACAACAAAAACTATTGGAAAAATAATTGAATTTGTTTGCGAGAAAACAATCCCGTTTCAACGGGAACATGTTAACGTGGTTTTCTGTATTGGATAGAGGAGTAGGCCCTCTCTGCCCTTCGTATACATTTTAATTGTGATTGAAAAGGAAAAGAGCACTAACATGGTTATCTCCAAATCAATGGTTAAATATTTTCTAATTTGACACGCACACGAATTTGAATCATTGAAATACAACGAAAAATAAATCATATAAAGATGTCCCTCAAATAAAATTATTGAATCATTGAAATACAACGAAAAATAAATCATATAAAGATGTCCCTCGAATAAAATTATTACATGAAATGAAAAAAGATTGCTCATATTTTTGTGAATATATATACGATGATGCATGCCAGCCCTGGTATAGGTATGGAGATTTTGTGGTGGATATGTATACGTGGAATATGGGCCCTCTATCTATATGTACCTCATCCAAAAGGCATGGAATTATGGCCACCCATTGTGACACAAGTCATACTCCATATATATATGTTTAATTAGGTGACTTGATCTTCTTTACATACAATTGGAGGGTTTTTCGCTGTTTGTTCATCACGATTGCATGAACGATATACAAATATTATAATGAAGAAATATGTATATGTATGCGCTCATATATATATATATATTTATTCTCTCATCTAGATCCGTACTTTATATTATCGCACAATAATAACATCCAAACGTCCACTTAGGAGAATTTATGTGTATATATATATGTTCAAAAATGACTTTCCACAAAATCATTGAGATATTTACTAGAAACATATTTTCCTCCAATGTTAGAGCTTAACAAAGAAATGAGCTAGCTAGCCGCATTCACATTGTGCAGGCACTAAAGTATGCAATATCAAATCAGAGTCATGTCACATTTGCACTAAAAACAACACATTCTTAAAACTTATCTTGTAAATCTGATGGCCACCAAATGATTCCCATATCGATCGGCATATCCCATCATCATCCTCATTTTGTGCCTTCCAAGTCAACATTATTGCCTACCCTTTGAAATGTTGGATCGTCCCCTCGCTATGTTATTTGATTACCAGTCACGAAGTCACAATTATTTGGAAACCATTTTGGCTAATCCAATCAGTTTTAAACATATATGAGTCCGAATTTTGGACTCTCGCATTCTAATTATTCTCAATCCACTCATTATACTAAAACAATTGTTTAGTGATGTGTTTCGTCTTACTAATTTCTGGATTAGCGATTGACTTTTTTCCCCTTCCCACAAGAGCTTAATGCTGCTTAGTCAGGTTTGAGACCCTTCCTTGTCATATTGAAGGCAACATAATTGATACTTAGTTAGCTAATTTGTCATATTATATCTGTATTTATTAATTTGAAGATTCATGATGACAATTAAACATCTGTTTCGAGAAATGCAGTCCCTTTCTTCTGGTTGAATTTTATTTTCTCTACTTTTTTTTCTTTCGACAAAATTTTAAAAGCAAACATTAAATAAGCAATCTTTTTTGACAAATCGATTGAGTATACAACGAATGTTATAGCCTTTCATTGTCGTAATACTGTAGCATTCTATAATGATGATATAAAATCAAGTTAGTTTCGTAGCAATCTATGAGTTGTAAATTGTTCAGTTTTCAATTTAAATTTCCTCGTTTAGAATTTGAGA